GGAACTGTCAGAAGTGGGTCAAGGAGGACAATGATTAGTTTTTGGTGGTGGTTCAGATCAAAAATCAATCAATAATCAATAATAATAAAAAATTGCTGCCTTGGCAGAGGTCTGCGCTCTCGGAGTGCTTTTCTAGTTTTGTTATGCTTTTCTTTTTAATTTTTTCTCAAACACTTGCATTTGTGACTTTTTTAAAACTCCCATCCGCCTGAGGCTCTGCTCATTTTCTGTATTTCCACATAAGCAGTTGTATTGGTTTTTATGTCTTTAAACATTATGTAATATTATTTTATGCACTGTCATCATTTTGGGACCTTCATCATATGAATTTGAACTCTAATGGTCCTGAAACTGTAATCTTCCGGAAGACGGTCAAGTTTTAAAGTTTATATTGATCGTATCTATTTTTTTTTTGTTGGAAGACCATCAAAATGGAGGATAGATCAAAATAGATACTTTGGAATACTGTCAGAAAATATGTCTGGGTCTGCTCCTGTTATTGACTATGTTACCTGTTGTGCATGATTAAAATTCAGTGTTGACTGACAGTGCTATTATAAGCATTATTTATTATTGCATCAAAATTGACAAAATGACCTATTTTGCATCTTTATTTTCTGTTTTTTGTCTGTACATTTTGCTGCCTTGTTAAAGAATGTATCAGTCTCAGTGCAGTTGCCCTAAGCCTTTAGTGAGGCTTCCTTGAAGAACGAGACGTTGTCGGCATAGTCCCCTACGATTTTTCACCCATGTGGTCAGAATACGGAAAAGCACGATTTCAAATTCATACAAGGGAATTACAATGCGTTTTAAACATCTTTATATGCCTTGTCAAACCACCAAAGGTGGAAAAGAAAGAGACCAAAAACAAGTTCAAGCATTATCAAGATCATCGCAATCCACCGAGCAATTCCCGTACGAGAACCGTGCTATTGCCATCTACGATGATGCTACGGCTAGGCTACGGACGTAAGCATTTCAAATTTTTTCATAAGTTTCAGCTTGACAAAATCATACAGGCTACGGAAGCCGTGAATCAGTACGATTTCGCACGACTTCGCACGGTCAACGCACGCCGCTGCACATACGCACGCACAAACGCACGGAATGGGATTTACTGGCAGTATACGGACATCGCATGGCATAGCAAATTAATGTATATACAGACACATAGTAGGCCTACATATAGCTATCACCTGCGTCTGTCGTCGCCGTGCACTTTCATTGACAACACGATAAGTGGAAAACCGTCTGACTTATTGTCTTCAAACGTGCAAAACTGATGAATATTCATTAATTGAAGGTCGAGTTCGAAAAAAGGTCCGACCATTTTTTCAAAAGTAATGCTGTTTTTCACTTTTTTTCCTCATATATGCAGTACAGACAACACATTTTACAGAAAAGTCATTTGACCTATTGTCTACAAAAATTACAAAAATGATCAATATTATTTATATACATGTCGAGTTTGAAGATCGACCCGACTTAATCTTTTTTCTTGAAGTTATGCCGTTGTTTTTCAACATGCGTACATGTATATTATACTATCATTATGCAATACAGATGCCACATTTACTGGAAAACCGTTTGGCCTGTTATCTTCAAACTAACTAGACTGAAGAATATGACTTTGATACTGCTTGCGTTTGAAAAACAACCATTGAAAAACGTATTCATTTTTTGAAGTTATGCTTTTTGTTGTTCAATTTTCACATTATAGCATTTTCTTTGAATTTCCATCCACCTGAAGGCGTTTGTCACATTGTCTAACAATCCATGATGCCTTTATTATATTATATTATATTATATTATATTATATTATATTATATTATATTATATTATATTATATTATATTATATTGTTGGTGATTATGCTGTTAATCATTCTGTAATGCTTCAAAACTTACGAGCCAATTTTGTGTGCTAAAATCACAAATGCTGTGAAAAGAAAACCATTTTCTTTATTATCTTGTAAGTTACAAGAATGATTCTTAGGATTGACGTAAGGCTAATTATATTAATTTTTTAGAATTTATGCTATTTTTGGTATCAGGATAACCCCCCCCCCCCCTCCCGATGATTCCCCCCAAAGTAAATATATTTATATACAAATATAAAGTAAAGAGTATAAAATTCAAATCTTTTCGAAATCTTTATGAAATATGTTAGTGTGATGATGCAAGTCTAGGATAGTTAATATTAATATGATTATTAAACAAATAACCTTATCCCAAGTGGATTACAAGTACAGAAACCTTTAGAAATAGAAGTACGGAAAATTTTAATTAAAAAATCTGAACAGATCATTTCTCCTGGTATGGGTGGGTAAACAGATGATCTCACTCATCCAGGTAACCCTTTGATGGATTATCTGTTACTTTTAATTGCTTCATCACCCCAACCCCCCTTGATTAATTTGCCCGTCTTCAATCAAGTTGCATCTCTAGGGAGAGGTGGGGTAGTAGATTTTCTCACAGGATAGGTGGTTTTACTATTATTAGATATTTACTGAATGGGAAAGGAATTTGTTATAAAATTATTTGTCTAATGATGGAAGTGCATTATCAAACTAAAAACATTAATAAATGGATGAAATGTTTTGAACTTTACACCATTTACTTTATATTTGTATATAAATAAAGATTATTTTAGGGGGGATCATCTTGGGGGATTGTCCTGGAGGGGGGGGGGGACTAGTTATGACCCAAGTTAACTCTTAAGTGGTCAAAAATTACTTGTCCATAGCACCTAGGTTTTCTCAGAATTCTTAAATGCAGTATTAAATATTGTACCAAAATGGACACAAACAAAAGCACAATAAAAGGAAGAGCATTTTACTTATTATTCTCCATCTTGTCTTTTTGAAGTTTTGCTTTTTTGTGACATGTTCATTTTTCACATCAAGGCATATTCAAAGAGTGACTTTGAACTTCCATGGGCCTGAGGGCCTTTCCTAATCACATTTTTGAACAAATATAAACACACACACTCGTATCTAACACAAGGAGCTACATGTATATATGCAAATATTTTTTTCATGTATGACTTTTAATATCCACTGTAAAATGCAAACTCTTAAAAATAGACTGGTACTTAAATTCTTTTCCGTTTTTGTCCCTGTCACTGACATTAGCGAGAGAACAGCATAATTCTCTCTCATTTTTCCGTCAATCTGCTGGGTGTAATATAGCAAATGCATTTTTTATTACATAATCATAAAGCATATATCCCCCATAGTTTCCAAATAAATATTAATCCATTGTTGATGTAGCAATATGTATGTTGCTAAGTAGATGCTATACAGCTCTTGTATTATCTCCACTTTGTGTTTGATTTAGTATTACTATGCTAGTGTTAAGTAACCCAGTCACATGCCTAAATAAGGAGACATTGATTTTGTGTTAGAGTTAGACTAATACGAGGCCAGTTGAGTGATGACATCAATTCCATACTAAAATCCTCCCTGGATCACAGTAGAGAAAAGCTTGTCCTAGTTCAAAAATTAGCCAGAGAGCCATATCTGTGTATCAATCTGCAGATCCTGGTACATGTAGAGAGAAATCATTTGGCAGGTTCTAGACCTGACATAACATCATGAACTCTAAACATTGGAGTAAGAAACAAACAACTTGCCATTAAAAAAAAAACATTTATTTATCTGGGAGGGTGCAAAGTACAAAAGAAAGTGGTGACAAGTCACATTCTAGACAGAATTGTTATAATAATTGGAATGTAAAAAAACAATATTATGTTACAATACAATCGAGGGCAATCATAATTCAGAAAAAAAAAATAAATAAAAATAAGACTGTCCCAGTCATTCATCTGCTAGCACACCAGTATCCATAATCCTGTATAAATATTTAACCTCTGCTGAGCTTTGGTTTTTCTTGGGTTTTTCTCAAATAGCAGACTTGGTGGGGGTAGTAAAATGTAACTTTGAACCCTTTAGTGATGCCAGACAGTGGTATAAACACACAATGTTCTCTGTAGTTACAAGATTCAAGTTTTTACTTCCCCAATGTGTTTACTCTGGCTTTATACAGTTAAGTTTTCAGGACAAATTTGGTCATCTCATCTTGAATGGGAACACACCTTCAATTACTTTTTAGTGTGGAATGGCTTTCTGCTTTTACTGCTACTGCTTTTACTAATGGAGGAGAAAATTTGACGCGCCTCAATCATTTAAATGCTAGATCTAACACTCATTTTAGGCCTAAAAAGGCAAAAACTTAATATATAAAATATGTAAATAAAAATAATATCCAGCAATACTGGATCACAAAGCATCACAAACCTCCCAAAATTGTTTATTTATACTAAACAGATTATCTTTGTAGTTTATCCACAGGCAAAAAAAAAAAAAAA